GCAAACCGATGAAGGTTTACGGTAAACCATAGTACTGAAGTTGGATGTGTTACGTGTGACCAGAATGTCGAGAAACGGAAGAGAATTGCAAGTCTCAAGTTCAAAAGTGAACTGAATAGCAGGATCAATAGAATTCATTGTTTGAAAGAACTTTATTTAAATCATCTTTATTACCTTCAAACAGAGTAAAAGTATCGTCTACGTAGCGGAACCATGCCGGGAAGTTTTTAAAGTTTCAAAAATTTTGATTCATAATAATGCATGTAGATATCAGCCAGGATGGGACTGAGGGGGCTTCCCATTGGCTAATCCCTCAGTTTGCTTGTAATATTTATTTTGGAAAACAAAATGTGTTTGTTTCAAACAGAGTTGAGTGAGAGAAAATTAGCTCATCAATTTCGATGCAAGAGAAATGAAATTTGCGAAGTCTGGTTTCTAGACATCTTAGTGCACCCTCCACTGGGACATTGGTGAATAATGATTTTACATCAAAAGAAACCATGAGTAAATTACTAGGAGAAATGTTTTTAACTTTTTTTTACAAACTCTATTGAATTTTTTATGGTTGTAAATGTTATTGTCTAATAGAGTTGAAAATCTAGAAACTAAATATTTAGCTAATGGATACGAGGCAGTACCTAAATTTGATACAATAGGGCGGAAAGGAATACCCCTTTTATGAATTTTGGGAAGAGCATATAATCTGGCACAATTCGCAACAGATGGGATAAGTGAATATTTTAAGTTGCCTGAAATGATTTGCGAAGATTTGATCGCAGTTTTTATTTTTGACAAGTCCGAAGGTGAAGGATCATTAGGGATCGGATTATATGGTCCTTCGTTTAAGAGTTTAGTGACACCATCGATGTAAGTGTTCCTATCCATGACGACTATCTGGCCACCTTTGTCGGCCTTTGAAATAATAATATCCGGGTTAGAATGAATTTCACGCAATGTAGCTCTTTCTCTCGCAGTTAGATTTGGTTTCAAAGGTTTATTTTTGAATTTCACATTATGAGCATAAGATGCCTAATCATTTCTTTCTGTGAATCTGAAACTTTACTGAACTTGAAAGCTTTTTTTCGATAGGAGCCAAAATCTTTGGAATCGAGGGTTTACAGGTTTGTGAGAAGTTAAAATTATATTTTAGAATTCTCTCTTGTTCTTCTGAAAGACTAACATTAGAAATATTAACTATTGGCTTGATGTTTACAATGGGAAGATTTTTTGAACTACTTGAACTGGAAGATTGTAAAAGAAGTTTTTCGAATTTAACTGCAAGGGTGTTTTTATGACGGTTAACTGCATTCTCCGTTCTAGACCAAGACTTTTGTTCAAAGGCAGTGAATTTTGGATATGATTTAGCGAGTTCCAGATGAAGCTTATAGAGTTCACGTTCAATTTTGGACAATTGTTGACGTGTATCCCTTATGACGGACTGAAGTAAGGCAAGCTTGCAATTTAACAGAATTCTTGAAACGCGACTCGAAGGTTTTTGATTAGATTTGATTTGAATAAAATTTGGGATCAATTTTTTACATTTACATTTAAGTAAAAAGTCAAGATGATTCAGGAATTTTTGCCGTTTCAGGCGTAATTTAGTGAAACGATTCACGGATGAAGGCATGATAAACAATACAGAAAATCAAACTAAATTAACTAAACAATAATAAAGCACACACAAAACAGCAGAAAAATCCCTCACTGAAATTAATAGAAAACAAAACGTAAGCAAAATGCATGAAATCAGACAAGCAAAGCACAATATCCAAATATACAAAATATAAACATAACTTGAAAATTGCAAAAAAGTACTTACCGAAACTCATGCAATCACAAAATGGCGGCCACACCACGTGCATTTTCAAGTTATGTTTATATTTTGTATATTTGGATATTGTGCTTTGCTTGTCTGATTTCATGCATTTTGCTTACGTTTTGTTTTCTATTAATTTCAGTGAGGGATTTTTCTGCTGTTTTGTGTGTGCTTTATTATTGTTTAGTTAATTTAGTTTGATTTTCTGTATTGTTTATCATGCCTTCATCCGTTAATCGTTTCACTAAATTACGCCTGAAACGGCAAAAATTCCTGAATCATCTTGACTTTTTACTTAAATGTAAATGTAAAAAATTTGATCCCCAAATTTTCATTCAAATCAAATCTAATCAAAAACCTTCGAGTCGCGTTTCAAGAATTCTGTTAAATTGCAAGCTCTAGCCTTACTTCGGTCCGTATCATAAGGAATACACGTCAACAATTGTCCAAAATTGAACGTGAACTCTATAAGCTTCATCTGGAACTCTGGCTAAATTCATATCCAAAATTCACTGCCTTTGAACAAAAGTCTTGGTCTAGAACGGAGAATGCAGTTAACCGTCATAAAAACACCCTTGCAGTTAAATTCGAAAAACTTCTTTTACAATCTTCCAGTTCAAGTAGTTCAAAAAATCTTCCCATTGTAAACATCAAGCCAATAGTTAATATTTCTAATGTTAGTCTTTCAGAAGAACATGAGAGAATTCTAAAATATAATTTTAACTTCTCACAAACCTGTAAATCCTCGATTCGAAATTCATTCTAACCCGGATATTATTGTTTCAAAGGCCGACAAAGGTGGCCAGATAGTCGTCATGGATAGGAACACTTACATCGATGGTGTCACTAAACTCTTAAACGAAGGACCATATAATCCGATCCCTAAAGATCCTTCACCTTCGGACTTGTCAAAAATAAAAACTGCGATCAAATCTTCCCAAATCATTTCAGGCAACTTAAAATATTCACTTATCCCATCTGTTGCGAATTGTGCCAGATTATATGCTCTTCCCAAAATTCATAAAAGGGGTATTCCTTTCCGCCCTATTGTATCAAATTTAGGTACTGCCACGTATCCATTAGCTAAATATTTAGTTTCTAGATTTTCAACTCTATTAGACAATAACATTTACACCATAAAAAATTCAATAGAGTTTGTAAAAAAAGTTAAAAACATTTCTCCTAGTAATTTACTCATGGTTTCTTTTGATGTAAAATCATTATTCACCAATGTCCCAGTGGAGGGTGCACTAAGATGTCTAGAAACCAGACTTCGCAAATTTCATTTCTCTTGCATCGAAATTGATGAGCTAATTTTCTCTCACTCAACTCTGTTTGAAACAAACACATTTTGTTTTCCAAAATAAATATTACAAGCAAACTGAGGGATTAGCCATGGAAGCCCCCCTCAGTCCCATCCTGGCTGATATCTACATGCATTATTATGAATCAAAATTGTTTGAAACTTTAAACTTCCCGGCATGGTTCCGCTACGTAGACGATACTTTTACTCTGTTTGAAGGTAATAAAGATGATTTAAATAAAGTTCTTTCAACAATGAATTCTATTGATCCTGCTATTCAGTTCACTTTTGAACTTGAGACTTGCAATTCTCTTCCGTTTCTCGACATTCTGGTCACACGTAACACATCCAACTTCAGTACTATGGTTTACCGTAAACCTTCATCGGTTTGCCTTCCACCAACACTTTAAACCATGTCATCCGACTAAACAAAAGTAAGCTTCATTTTATTCCTATGTTTTCCATGCTCTTCAAGTTTGCTCCTCCAAACTAGCCCTTGATGAAGAACTAAATTATTTAAAAGCAATAGCTATTTACAGGGGCTTTCCACCCAACATTATTAATCAAGCAGTTAAAAAATTCTCATCTCAACACACTAAAAGGCACACTCTTGTTTTAGGAGATTATAAAAATTCTGTTGTCATTCCCTTCTTTCCATCAATTAGCTATAAATTTACACATATTTTGCAGAAATTTAACTTTCGGGTTGTTTATTCTCCCATCAATAAAATTCCGAGTTCCATACTCAAGGATCCCATTCCGGATATGAATTCCTGGGGTATTTATAGGATTCCTTGCCAGTGTGGTTTAATTTACATTGGCCAAACTAAGAGAGCCTTAAAATTTCGCATCAAGGAACATGAGGCATATGTTAGAAAAAAGGAAACACAGAAGTCTTCTGCTGCCAAAATTATTCAAAAAACATCTTCCATTGGAGAACTGGATTTTCTAGAGGCATTTCACATTCATAAAAATCTTTCTGTTCTAGTTAACGATCCTAATTCCAATCCAAATTTGCCTTCAGCCTTTAAAGAAATTATGTTTTAGTTCTGGTTTCACCAACAGATGGCGCCACTTGCTTATTCTTGTCCAGGCTTTCTTATCTTATCTAATCATTATTTCCTATCTGATTCATTTGCGGTTTTGCAGCTGAAGATGGTGGTTCGGTAAAACCATCAAACTAGTCCTGTGAAAATTTGGTAAATATAACGCTGATTTTTGTTGTTTGACTTCTTAATTAGTATTTATTCGGCGTGTTATTGTGTATTACAAATTCGTGCAGACAGCCAAGACAAGAAATTTGAGTGCCTAAGATAATACTTAGCCAAAATTAATTTGTCAAGTTTTATTTCTTTTTAATTTGTTCTGCTTCTTATGTAATTTAAGATGTAAATATGAACAAAGCGTATTTTTTGGTTTTATTTTTTAAATCAAGAGGCTTGACATGCTAAAACAATAAAAACTTTTGAATAGTTGTGTTTAAATAATTCTTTTTCTTTCCCACCATCCCCCAGACCTTTCATGCTTTACGTTGTTTCTGAATGACAATAATAAGTAACCTAGTTCTGACACTTTTTGTCAATCAGTTTGGATGCTTTTCAGGTTATTTTTATGATCCAGAGGTTCCTAAATGATTGACTGGTTTAAAAGTACTAAAAAATAAAATAATTTATATTAATTTCCATTATAAAATGCTTTTATGTTTATATATATTGAGCATAAAAAAAAAGGCCAGCAGCCTAAGCAGTGATGCCTGTTTATAGCGGTTGGATAGCTTAGTAATTCAAATAAGTATTTGTGCATGAAGCAATAATACTTCATTTATGTTCATTAATTGTTGTTTTATTCTGCTTGATTCTCATAGAGTGTTATTCATTGCAGATGTAAAGCCTTCATGCAGTGATCAGCCATCCTCAATCTTTAAAGCTACATCAGCCAGTACAGATAGTTTGTGTGTAGCAAATACATCTCAGACATCAGTGACTTCTGGCTTTAAATTTGGTGCAGGGATTAATACTTTTGTGTCTTCTGCATCTACTAATAAGACTACTGGGTTTAAAATTCCTATCAGTTCTGCAAGTTCTCATATAGCATCCTTTGGAGGTTTTTCATTAGATTCTTGCAAAACATCTATTTCAGTGAGTACTACTGAAAATAATGTATCGCATTCTTCAGAGATTGAAAAGTCTACAGCTGAAACATGTATTAGCGCATCAGCATCAAATAATACCATCTCTAGTCTTACGTCGTCTAAACCTATGACTGTTTCTACATCTGTGAGAAATACTGACAGTATAAAAGAAACTCCATCTACACAAGAGGCAAGTAGTACTGCAGATACTTCATCTGTGATAACACCTGCAAAAGAAACTGAAAGCACATTATTAAAAGGGAATGTTGATATATCTAATACTGCTGCATTTAAATCAAATAATAATGTAGAATCTGTGACACCATTCCCAAAGGCAGTAAGTCTAAATTTCCTTTTTAATTAATAGGTTTCATTTAACACTCTTTTGGCTGAATTAGATATTCTGAAAAAGAAATAAGCATCTTATCTTAAATGATCACATATTCCATATTGTGTATTTAAAAAAAAAAAGTGGGCTAAGACTTAGGGCCTTTCTTGTGATCTTAATTAGCTAATTTACCTAAAAATCATGCTGTGTAGATGACAACATAATATGTAGCCAATTGAAAGGCGCATTGACAGCAATAGAAAAATTGGTGCTGTTCTGTTTTCGGGACTGGATTCAGAAATGTGAGACATATATACATGAATGCATACATACATTTTTTAACTCGTGCTGATAACAACAGTATTGAAAAATGTCACAACTTTTTTTTTTTAAAGGAAGTGACCATTATGTTTCTTATTCACTCTGGGGTAGTAAATTCTTTTAGCTGGAATTTCTTTAAAAAAATTAATAAATAAAGAGTTTATGTACAGACTTTGTTTTTAAACTAGCACTACTACGAGCCATCTGTAGCTTGATGTGTCAACTGAAATGCCATCAAATTTGGTAGGGGGACTGATGACCACATGGGATGAACAATCATTTGCACCTAAATGGGACTATTAACATTCTCAAGTCTTGAATTAGGCCATCCGAACAATACCCAGAACCATGCCCTTGCATATCATGCAAAGTTTTTTATGGTGTGCTGACTAGTTTTGTCATTCCACAACTGCAGCAGGGGCAACTGGGTGCAGCTAGAATTTAAGTTTTTCAAAAAAAAAAAAAATTTTTTTTACAATTTTTAATGGTGCTTTGAGTTTTTGTATATTTTGGTACTGTTCTGTTATCAAGACCAGAATAAAATGTATGCATGTATATATAATAATTTCCCTTGTTCTAATTCTGTAATGCTTTCATGTTGCGAAGCCTTTTTCCCTATGAAGGGGGGAATATGTAAGATAAAAATTATGTAAATCATGCTTATAATTTAAACTAATGGTAACTCTTTAATTCTTTCTCTTTGTTATAAAAATCGTTATAACTTCTGGATTGCATCATTTCTAGATCATTCCATTTTGCAAGTGCAACACTGATTCCTGTACAACACTGATGATGTAATGCAACACTGATGAAGTGTTCCTGTGCAACACTGATGATGTAATAATTGGGAACTGAAACTTTTTGACTCGAACCAAAACTTTCTCTTCGTGTGCTTCCATATTGCATAACTACGCACTTCAGTTTTACTTTGTACCCTACTAGGACGCAATTTCGCTTTCTATCGCAGTAATATGAAAAATGTAAATGTTGTGTGAATAGGCACAACTAGAGCACCAATCTATCCTAATAGCTATTATGCATCGACACTGCTCCATCTATATATATATATGTATGTGTACATATATGTGTTTGTACACACACATATATTCATACATGCATTTCTGAATCTGGTGCAGACAACAGAAGAGTACCTATAATTTTGCCTTGCTGTGAAGTGAGAACTGAATTAATTGAATGAGAAATATATCTCCAGTGAAATCTGAAACAATAAGTTTAAATGAAAGGCAACAAAAAACGTATACAGTCAAAAGTCGTTAATTCGGACACCCATAATCCGGAATGATCTATAATCCGGACCTCAAAGCTACAAACTTTCTGCAAACTTTTCCGTAAGACCTTTACCGCTGCGAATTTGCGCGTGCGCAAAATACGTTTACGAATGCACGTTTAATGTATAACAGACGGGATAAGCTAAGCTAAAATTATATATTTCAGTTAATGTTGCAGATTGCGTTGTTCCTTATTCTTCGAATTGGATCCGGATTATTATTTTTTGCAGACTGTTAGAGCAATTTTATAAAAGTAAGCTTGATTTTTCAGTTATGTCAAATAGAATTTCCGATATATATTTACTAATATGTAAAGGATATACAAAGCGAAAGTATCTTTCAGAGTCCATTAAACAAAAAGTGGAATTGCTGCAAAAAAATGGATAAAGGCATATCCTTTGTTTTCTAAACTTTAACGTTTGTTTATCTAAACTTTAACATTTGTTTTTCTAAACTTTAACGTTTGTTTATCTAAACTTGTTTATCTTTAACGCTGCTGTGGTGTGCAATGAATTGGAAGTTGATCTGTCAGCACTATCCTTATCTTAAGGGCAGATGTTTTTATTTTATTTGGCTTATAATTGCTTACTCAATGTAGTATTTCATCTGGATGTACTCGGTCTTTGATATGATTTTCGGATGGCGAAGAAAGTAACAGAGGTTATTGAAAATGAAAAAATTTCGATTGACTAGTCGGGTATTCTCGACACAGCAATTATAGGACTTGAACAGCGGAACTTTGTAACTGAACAAGACATTATGTCTGTTTATAGAATTAAAGAGAATGTATTATCACATAAAAAACGAAGCAACTTAAACAACTTACATTGAAAGAAATGCGTAATAAAGTAAACAAATAAATATTAAGCTTTTTTTTTTGTAAATTTTGATACCCTTTAGATCATAATTGTTCTTTATTTCGTAAATTACGGTTTCATATTTTTAATTTTATAATTTCTGCATGCCATTTTACCAGATTTAAACTGATGATCTATAATCCGGAATCGCCGAAGTCCTGACGAGTCCGGATTAACGACTTTTGACTGTATAATTTAATAAGCTGTGCAAGGAAGTCGTGTGGTGTGCACATCAGTATATGTATTTTTATTTTAGTGTTGCATATTTTTCAGCCATAAGAAACAATAATTATAATATCTTCTCTCCATTGTTTGTTTGTATTTTATACTTCTCCTCTTTTAACCCATTCAAGAGCTTGTCCTTCCGAATGAAATGCTTTGAAAACGGCCATGTGTTTAGTTAACAAATCCCTCCAAAAATCACTTTCCTTTTCTGGAATATCTAAGATATCCACTGCCATAGAGAAGTATACCACTTTCCCATAGTGTTATAGATAAGCCATAAAATGTCCTTTCTGCTACTGAATTTCAAGAACTACTTGTGTTAGTTTTGTCTTTCATGCTTGTTGTTAGCATGTTTTATTATTTGGCATGTTTATTGGGCAATATTTTAGATCATTATTTTCCCCTTACTTTATACTTTTATATCCTTACTTTAAAATTTTATGCTATTTTATTTAGTTTTATTTGTCTTTTTTTATTGGTAGGACAAGTGATCTGGGAAATTAAATTTTAATCTTTTTTTAACCAACTCAGTTTTCTTGACATTGTAAGTCCAACAATAAAAGTAAAATATTCCTCAGAAATTTTTTGAAAATTAACTTAGTGTTAAGTTTCCTCTGCAAGTTGTTTGCTAAAAGCTGAACTGACCCTTGTAAATGCCCACAGGATTAACAAGCAATGATGTTCCGAATGAATGAATGAAGTTTTTTTGGGGGGATTTTAAAACAATTTCTAAAATTAGGGTGGTTTTCTAAAGATATTTTGGTAATTTTAGCTTTGTGTAGTTGCTAGCAATATGGAATTTTAAATCAAAAATTTATTCTTTCATTGATTTGATAGATGATTAGATTGCTACTTCAAATGGAAGTTCAGTTGAATTTGATGTAATCTTACCAGAAAGAGTTATTTCTCCATGCTCAAAAGCAAGATTTTCTCACTTTTTTGCATTTTAAAAATTAAATATATGAAATAGAACATAAAAAAATGCCTTTGGATTTTCATGGTTTCAGTTAAATGAATTGTAAAATTTCTTTTTAAACTTTTGAAATATTTTCGCTTGTATGTGGCTAAATTTAAAATTGTGGAACTCCCTCTTACAATTCACTGTTAAAAATTAAATAAACTCCTTTTTTAACCCCCAAACTTATATAAAATGTTTTGACTAAATATGATTTGAATGAGTTATCCAATTCTGTTTCGAGTGGCATAAATTATTATTTCTAATATATATTATGTGGTAATATAACTTAGCAGAATATTGTTTACTGTTCAAAATTATATCTAAAGAAATTAATTTTGAAAAGAAAAAAAAGGGGGGCCGAAAGACGCACTAACCTTTCTGTTTTCATCATTATCGGCAGGAACCTTCTGCACAGCTATATAGTTCGCCTTTTCTGCTCAGCGTAATCATGGACGGGAGAAATGCAAATTTCTAACAGTGCACCTATTTGTTTAAAAATGGAACTAGTTAGGTAATTTATGGTATCTGTATGATTTGCTGTGAACGGTCATATACCTAATGCCGTGATTGAAGGGATGCTTGTCCCCTTAGGCATTTGGAGGCAAAAACAAGAAAAAAAAACCTAGGTAGATGTTCTTGATGTATCTTTTAATTTTAACAGAAACAGGGGCAAGCCTGTTTTCGAGGGTATATTTTAAATGACAAAATTCCCGTAACGACCCACTAAGGAACCTTCATAAAAAAAAAGATAATTTAGGTCCAACCATTAAAGGGTTAAAAGAGTTTTAAGGATAAAAACCAACTGAAATTAAAATAATAATAATAATAACTTTAAAAAACTACCAATGTAAAATATAGTAAAATGGGCAGAAGAAAACTTGAAGTAAAAAAAAATGGCATCTAGTATTAAGTGAAAAGGTTAGGGGAAAGAAATAAGCCAAATGTTGCAACATCAGCTTGAAATTTAATAATTGGTAAAATGTATTTTAATATTGATTTCATTAAAGGGTACTTTCTTTGGTAGACGGTTGCACAGATTTTTGGCACAATTGTTGGCACGGTTTTTACAGTCGTCAGCCATCCTGAAAAATGCTGTTTTTACGTATTTTACGCATATATTTTACCCATTAAAAATAATGGATTAATTTTTTGTTGAAAACGTTGTTTTTTAAGATGGCTGGCAAATGTAAATAAATACATTTACTAAGAGTATAAAATGCTAAAGTAAGGCTAAATTATTACTATCATACAGCACAGATAATAGAATAAAAATACCTCTATAAAAACATTGCGCCAACAGTTTAATTGGATTAAAATATTACGTAATATTGAATATCGAATTTGAAACTATCATACCAATGTTTAAAAAGAATTAAAATATTATTTAAACTTAAATACTTTAAAATAAGTTTTATAGGATTTAATTACGCTTCGTAACATTAGAGCTAACAATGCGACAAGAAATATCTCAGAATTTATTGTCGGCAAAGACTTTTGTATTAATTTTTAATAAAAATTGAAGTATACAATTATGAAGTTAAAGAAGAAAATTATGTACTTACATTTTTTAACCTGATCACAATACCATTGATACGTACCAAAAAAAAAAAAAAATCGGCTCTCGCTAACGATTTTCATCTGTGTGATCCACATCTCTCGCACTTCATTGAAGAAGCAATTAGCCAGGTTTTCTCCAAAAATTTAAAATAAATTTCCTCTGACACTATTAACAATTTATAAATAAATCTTTGATTAGCAAAGCAAGGTTGGCCAAAATAAGGTCTCAAACGGAAATTCTTTTATTCCGATGCCAATAATTATTGGTAATTACCAATAACAACATTCATATTCGAAACGGACACATCCATTCACTTTGAGGAATTCGAAGAGATGAATAATAAAATTTTAAAATGGCGCGGTAATGCACAAATATTCAGTAACCAATCAGGGAGCTGATTACATCACGCATAGAATTAAAATTATTTAAATAATCATTCATAATAAAATCATATTTTAAAAAAATGCAAAATTAAATTGTATTTTAATATTTAACACCCATAAATAATGTTTAAAACATTAGATTAAATTTATAGATATTAAAACTAATTACTTTTAAAATAATATGACGTCATTGATTACATCGTTCACAACATACAGAATTCCATAAAATATCATAAACATAGTGATCAGACCTGGGTTTCTCTATGTGTCTTATCTTCTTATCTGATTACCCTTAAAATTGAGAAGTTTTATCAAGACCTGTAACAGTCAAAGGTTGCTTTTTTGCTTGATTTGAATGGCATGTTTCCTTTGTGTTTAATACTAAATGAGAATTATATAAAGTTTATTTCATAACTGTACTGCATAATGTTAATTTTTAAATATGTTTTCTGATTAAATAAGCTTCTTGTTGTAATAATTGTGAGATGTGTTGTTAGATTTCAAATTGCTTGAAGGTTTATTTTTTAAGTTAGATTACTTGTTAATAACAAAGCACTCAAGGTTATTTCTTTGTTTCAAGGGGCCACTAATGTAGGAAATATTAAAGGGAATCTAGTTTCTGTGATTGTGCTACACAGGTATTGTGAATATGCTCACAGAAACATAACTAGCCTGTTTAGCCTACAGGAATATAACTTTGTCTGGATTACCTACGTTTCACTACTGAACTCATGGTGAAATAATTTATCTTGCTACGTTGGGTTTGTTTTTGTAGAATGTTATTTTTCACAATTATTTTTTCCCTCTTTCTGTTGTTATCACCTTGAAGAGTGGTCTGGATGATAAACTTTACTACATATTTGTGTAATTGTCATTGGTAACTTCTAAGAAGCTTCTAAGACAACTTTTATTTAAAAATAGAAACTGTTTTGACATATTGGTATATCAATTCATGTGCATCTTTTTTTAATTGTTTATTGAAAGCAAGTTTGATTATATTAATCAAGTCAATTATCCATGCATGGGTGTGTAAAACTGTATTAATACAAAAAAACACACAATTGCCTTATTATTTATCTCTACTTTGAAGTTGTGGTTTCTGTTTTACAGGAGATTTAATATGAATAAGTTTTTACTGCGATCGGTATCGTCAATTGGTAAAACAAACCTACACTTGTAGAGTATATACAAAGATATTTTTTTCTCCCTTTAGTTTATTCATAATGATGCAAATCTTTGGGAGTGTGACACATGTTTGGTAAGGAATAGTCAAGATAAAATAAAGTGCATAGCTTGTGAAACTTTGCGGCCAAGTAAAGGAAATTCCAGTGGTAATAAATTTTTATTCATGTGTTAAACAGATTTTTTTTTTTTTTTTTTTTTTTTTTTTTGCTTGTCTGCATTAATAAATTTTAATCCAGCTGTATTATAATAGTATATTTAACCTCTTCGTGCTCCCAGCATATCATGTACGACTCACTTCACTCTGAGGGCCGACCGTATCATATTTGATATGCTGAAACAGAATGTTTAACATTTTAAATATGCATTAATGATATCAGAATGCTGTGTAACAATGCTCACAATGGGCATTCATAGTTTTAAAATGGTTTACAGCATCCAAATGGCTTAAAATTTTGTATGTGAATAAAAGATGTAGTAGGCATGGGTATTTAAATTCTTGAGTTTTTCCTACTTCATTATTGTGCAGATATAATTTGAATATGTTAATATAATCATTATCTCTAATGTTGTACATTAACTTGCGTTTAAACTTTATTTTAATTTTGAATGAGATTTTCTCTTTATATTATATATAACATTTACCTTAATATAGTATACACAAGAATCCAAATATTTTGATAAAAAGTAGATTTTATAAGAATTATTTTCCTACGTAAAGCAAAGCACGCTCAATCAGAGGATGTTCTGCACTCCAAGGTCACAGGCCCATGCAGAAATTTTGTTTTCTCTGTTCCTGTAGTGAAGAGATTAAAGAAAAAACAAAAGATAGTGGAAGAACATTCTAAGATTTTAGCATTTATGATGTCAAATGACGATTTTTTTAATAAAATTTTAAAACACTGTTCATTTGAAACATGAGAGATTACTTATTTTATTAGTAAAATTTGTTGAATATCACATCAGATGTTTACAAAAATATAGAGTCCACTAATTTTCCAGTAATTTTGATACAAATTAAAACTGACATGTCCACCTTGACCTCACTATGAAAAGTAAAGTAATATAACTTTAATGTAACTTTCTGTGCAGACCACAGTTTGTTTTGCTACTGTAATTATTCTGTATTTATCAACAAAATGTAGTGTATTCATATTTGTATGTTATTTTTCTTATTTTCTTATGCTGTACTTTGTTCAAAGATTTTTTATACACACACACATATATATATATATACTTTGGCTTTTTATGTTAGACACGTAAAATGCTCCCATTTTCATATTATTTTACAAATTTACTGATGAATAACATTTTTATAATTTTTTTAATTTCTTACTGCTTTTAAGTCTTAAATCTTACCAAGAAAGTAACAAAATTTTCTTCCTTGGATTAAAATCTTTCACTGCCTATTTGTCTCTTCTTTTACACTTATAAATGCTGAAGTAATTAATTTTTTCTTCTTGTTATGTTTTGTTTCACCATGTTTTTGAAGTTGATATGTGTTGATTCATTCGCTTCAGTGAAAAATATCGGCCATTTTATTTATTCTGTTCATCATTGTTTTTCCTTCCCCAGTTTTATGAGGTTAGAAGAATAAAGTTTGTAATGTACATGCTGTATTAGTTTATAAGGTATTTTCTCCCTCCTTTCCCGTGAACGGGCTGGCTGCATGGGCGTTTTCGTGGTTTTCCCCATGTGTAACGTGTATACGAGCCATCCCTTAGAAAGTCCTCCATGAAGGCATCCCTTCCCTTAGGCAGATAGTCCCTCGTGTGCTTTGCCATAATTAAATACACACACCTTCTCCCTCCTTTCCACATGCCTTCATGGTATAACGGTAGAACTGTAGGCACATATTCAAGAGGTCCATGTTTGAGTCTTGGCAAGGGCATTGCATATTTTTCACATCTTCTGCTTTTAAAAAAAATAATAATAATAAATGACTCTTATGTGGCACTTGAACTAAAAGGTGGTGGATGGTGAATCTTCACCATCAGGATTTGATGATTGGTTCCCATAATCCCCAGTTGCCCTTTAATAGGGAGAGTATATAAGGTGTTATTTTCTCCTTGCTTTCCTTGCCTTTAAAAGGGTAGCACACAAGTATTAAATTTAGTTATCTACTAATTATATATTGCTTGCTTCTATTAACAATGGTCTCAAACTGATGGCCTTCGAAACAGTTTGATGTAGCCCTTCAATACCTTTTTAAGTACCTTTTAATTACACATTTGTTGCAAATGTGATGTTGTAAAGATGTCATGATTTTAATTATTTGAAGTCTGACTTCATATTATTTTCATTACCATTAGACACTAATAACATACTCGCACCAAAAAAGTCTGTTAATTGCACTAAATTTGCCATGTGATATAAATCATGTGTCAAGATTTGAAGATACTATAGAACCTCAAGATATAAGTTTAATTGGTTCCAGCATCGAGCTTGTATAGCGAATTTCTCGTATCTAGAAACAAACTTCCCCATTGAAAATAATGGAAATTCAGTTAATCTGTTCTACTCCCCCCAAAATATCAACGCAAGAATCAATTTTCCATAGTTTACCTTAATATAACCATAGTTTACCTTAATAAAGAGTCTTGACTGGCGATAGGAATGTGAAGAAGACGAAACGGAGTACTGTGGGGAAGGAGATTACCCTTCTGATTCAGGAAGGCTCTCTCTCTTCTTGGGAATTTTACCATACTGGAAGCAGGTTCTGGGTTAGAATCACTCAACTTTCTTTTAGTTGAAGGCAAACTTATCTAATAACACTTCTTTCTGTCTCCTTTTTAAGATGCCTCTAAAATGCAATACTACATTGTCATAAAAGTTCATGGTGCTCCCACGCACTGCTTTGTTAGGGTGATTTTCTTTAAAGAAAGTTTTCACTTCTTCCCACTTTGTCAACACTTTTTCACTCTTACTGGGAGAGAGGGCCTCATTCCCTGTTCCCTCCTCCTCTAATGAAAGGTCTTCTACCACCTCTTGCTGCTGCTTCTTGTGAAGTTCTTTAAGTTCATCTGTTGTAAGTACTTCACTATGCTCCTTCACTAACTCATCCAGATCTGCACCATCTTCATCCAGACCCATACTTTTACCCAGAGATTCAGTTTCTTTGACTAGTTGCACTGTGTTATCCACCAAGTTAACGATCAAAAACTAATTTGGGAATACTCTGAGGCCAGTTTTTTCTATGCTGAATTCAGAGTCCTCACTGAGGCTTTCCAAGCCAATGAAGTTTAAACATTGTAGGATCAGGAACGTTAATTCGGGAATATTCTGAGGCCAGTTTTTTCCATGCTGAATTCAGAGTCCTCACTGAGACTTTCCAAGCTTTATCAGTGCAGTTTAAACATTGTAAGATGGGGAAGTGATCCTTCCAGAATTCTCTGAGGGTCAGTCTTGTATTTTCGGTTGTTTCAAAACGCCTTTGAAACAAGGTCTTCATGGTACAGCTTCTTAAAGTTGGAAATAGGATGAAGGCTGGCCCATAGGATGAAGAAATGTAATGATGTTGGGAGGTAGAAACTTGACTTTATGAACTGAAATTCCCCCAGCAAATCATCTTCAAGCCCTGGAAAATGTGCAGGAGCACTGTCAAGGATGAGTAAAGCCTTGACTGGCAACTTATTTTCCTGAAAGTATTTCTTCACTAAGGGATCAAAATCTTTATTGACCCACTCAATGGAAAATTGCCATGTTACTCAGGCCTTGCTGTTGGCTCGCCACATCACATTCAGTTGGTTTTTATGCACCTTGCCCCTCTTGAAAACTCGGGGGTTTTCTGAGTGGTAGACTAGCAATGGCTTGATTTTACAATCTCCACTTGCGTTGGTGCAAAACAAGAAGGTAAGCCTATCTTTCATTGGCTTGTGGCCAAGCAGAGATTTGTCCTGTTGCATGATGAAGGTTCTCTTAGGCATTTTCTTCCAAAAGAGATCTGTTTTGTCACAATTAACACTTGCTAGGGAAGAAACCCTTCACTAGTAATAAATTGTAGGAACTCTGGCCGAAATTTATCAGCATTAGCTGTATCGGAGATTGCAGCCTTTCCATGTCATACGATACTGTGAACACTAGTTTTCTTTTAAAATTTTTTTAACCATGCACGGCTTCCTTTAAATGGCATCTCATCTTCAGTCAGCGTAGCTGGTGTTTTTTGGAGAAAGTTTTCAAGTGCAGATTAGCGCCCGATATCGAATCGCCTTTTAACTGCTTTTCGTTAATCCACACCAGCAACAGTTTCTCGACATCTTCTAGGAGTTTAGGACGGTGCTTGAAAGTAAAGGCAACTTTTTTAGCAGCACCAAGTTTCTTAATTTCTTCCTTCTTCAGAATAGTGCAGATCGTTGATGTCAAACAGGCATTAAGTCTTCGCCAGTTTCATCACTCTTACACTATGCTTATGTTTATGTATGATTTCTTCCTTAATTTCAATGGCCATGGCTTCCTTCATTTTCTTTGCATTGCTATCTGAGGCAACAATTTTCTTGGGAGGCATCGTGCAATAATAATTTTCACGTTAAATGTACAAAACAATTAACTCACAAGTGGTCGAGCACGTAGATCAAAGAGCACTGAGTGCTCTGAAGAGGGGATTCTCCGACTCAAGCTGGATCGGAAAATGCGCCACCCATACCAACAGCCTGGCTTGTAGCTCGTTACATGAGTCAGTGCTCGTATTTAGAGATGAATTCATCGCTCATACTTTCCTCATATCTGAAATTGCTCATATGTAAAGGTGCTGGTGTCTGGAGGTTCCTCTGTATAGATATGGTTAACTTTTATTCATATTTGTCAAAAATTAAGTATGCTCAGTTATGAAATTTGCACTAAGAATAATTCCTTCGTTTGGGGGATTATGAATTTTTTCACATTTGAAAATTATAAAAAAAATAAAAGAACTCGATGAGCATCTACAATCCTAATAAAGATAATTTTTAGTAATTTTTCTTCTGAACATGGAATTTTACAAACAAATTTTGTATTTACTTGCAAACTTGTGTGTTAAAATATTTAATACATAAGAGAAAAAGATATGGTTGTCATTGTTTATTCTTATGATTTGTCCTACTCGAAATGTTCATAATTTGTATATTTTTATTTAAAATTAAAGTAAGTTACTTAAAGACTAATTAAATATATCCCATTTTTTTTAATAAATGTCAATGTGAAATATTAATGTTTAACTGTCAGTATGTATGAATTACAGTATGTAACCAAAAAAAAATATCTTGCTGGACCAAATTTCTTGTGTACATTTTGATAAATATTTATTAAGTGGTAGGGAAGGAAAAAAAAATACTAGCCTGTCAGCTATTTTTAGATTGTGCATTTGGACCTGCATGCAATTTGAGTTTGAGGCCACAGTTTTAGGTGATCGACTGAATTTTTTTGCTAAAATATATAGCTGCGATATATCCACTAATGAATTTACCTTTCTCTTACCAAGTACTTGTAAGTTAACTACGTCCCTAGTTTCTATTACTAATTACTTGAAGTGCCTTTCATTTCTCGTGAAAACTTCTAATGATATATTTGTGTATTAAAATAATTAAATGTAATACATAAATATTAATTCAATTATTAACTAATTCATTTATATAACTGTAAAACATTTTATGAAATATTTAAGATACGTATATATATAATAAAATATTATGTATTGCCTTTTAATGATATTTTACTTATTTAAATCAACAGAGAAAAAAGACCTGACAAGTTTCAAGTTCAGTTCACCATTACAGAGCTCGCCACTGATTTTCAAATTTGGTAACCCCTTACCTACATGCCAGTCTACTGATACTAGTTCAAGTTTTAAATTTGGTGTACCTCCAAAAACAACTGTAAGTTCATTTTTTGGAACATCAACTCCCATCTCTGATAACGTAAATGTATCAAAAGCTGTAGAAGCTAGCAGCAGTTCAACAGTTACATCAGAAACACCATCTTCAAATACATCTGCAGAAAACCAGAAATCCATTGTGACTTTCCTGCTCAGTGAAAAGAAAGATAATACTGAAGAATCCAAGCAAGAAACAATTGCTAAAGTTGTTACTGAAGCCATCAGTAGTTCAGTTGGAAAGAGTTTGCAGACTTCAAATGTAAGTGCAGGTGCTCTTTTTGGACAGAGTCCAACTGTAAATGCTTTTGGTGCAGTAAGTTCAAGTACAGAAACACAAGCTATTGCAACATCAAGTTCAACATCGTCTGTATCGGCTGAACTTAAACCATTTTCTGTTCCTGTGGTGTATAGTTTTAGTTTACCTGTTCAACAGCAAGATTCTAAAAAAGGATTATTTACATCGCCTGCTGAGAAATTAAGTACAGCATTCAGTTTATCAAAATCACAAACTGCTAGTGGAGATTTTCTGTCTAAAGATGCTAATATTAAGGTGTCGAGTGATCTGGGTGCTCAAAATGCTGATCAGGCTTCATCAACCCCAAAAGAAAGCCTTCCTGTAAGCTCAGGAGGGTCTTCAATTTCTTTTCAGGTACCTACTAATTCTCAGCCTGTAACTTCGTCCTTTGGGTTACCGGTATCAGCAGCACCAGTATTTAAATTTGGTGAAAAAGATTCTTCAAAAACTGTTTCTGAACCATCCTCAAAATCTGGAAGTATTTTCCAGTCTATGAATCCAACTCCAGCTGTTCCAACCTTTAACTTTCTTAATACGCCTTCAAATACTATTGCAAGTTCTACTCCTAAGCCTACAGAAACACAAGCTACGTCAAATAACCTTCAATTTCAACCAAGTGTTACACAAAATCAGGATATGAAGTCAGTTTCTGTTACACCTTTTTGCACAGCTGCAACATCAAATTCTTTTACTTTTGGGACTTCGACTGCTGCATCTGCTTCTGCTCCTTCAGGTTTCTCGTTTTTTGGTTCAGCTGCTACTTCAGTTGCAACTGGTAACACTAGTGGATTTAGTTTTGGAGCATCTTCTAACACATCTGTGGAGTCTAAGCCTGGTGGTAAGTATTTAGCTAAACTGTTATAATTATCAGATTAATAATAGAATCTGTGAAGAAACTGAATGCAGTTAAATAGGACTTCCTATAAATATCTCTACAAAAGCTTCAATTTATGGTAGTTGGATCAAAATTTTCATTAAATATGTAATGAAAGACCCTGTCCTTATAGTGGTTATAAAGGTAGGATGAAGTATATTACAAATAATTACAACAATATTCCTTCATAAAACCAGAGAAATTTCTTACATTAAAGCATTTCAAGGTTACCTGCTTTTAGAATGCCTTTGTTGTTCATGTTCTAAGGGAAATTTGTTTTACCATAGCCTAAAATTTCCTTCATTTAAAATATGCAAAGCCTTTCAGATGCGAAAACATTTTGATGCGACTGGGGATAGGTTCCTTCATTCACTACTGAAGCAAACTATCCTGTTTTATTGATCATCACTTTTATAACTTTTGGCAAGTAAATATTTTACCGAAAATCATTACCTATAATTAAAGCGTATGGTGTTGTAATTGAGTAAGATCTCGCTGGTTTGAACTCTGTGCATTTCCATTTAACCATATAATACCAAGCACTGAAAAATTAATAATTTTTATTTAAATTTTTAAATATGTATTTCTCTAAGCCTATCTATGTATGCATAGAAAAATAAACACCAAATTCCTATTAGTTTGATCAATACTGCCTGTCCTAAAAGTAGGACAATGGTATAATCCACTGCTAATCATTCTTACTTAGGTGGAATGGGAGAAAGCATCTTAAGCATAGCCCAGTGTTACATTTTGTACGGATAGTTGTTGGTTTTGCTGTTTTTAGCTGGCATCTTATTTGTCTATTTTATGGGATTTTTCACAACAACATGTTCATTTTGAAGCTTTAGAAAAATCTTCATTAAACTGTTGAACGTTCAGTTTTTTGCAAAGTAGTTTTATTGGAATAGAAAGTCCCAAGTAAACAGCTGTTTTGTATCTTTCGAAATCAAGCAGACTATCGTCATTAAACAACTGATTGAACTTCCAATGAAGCAGCAAATGCTGTTTCAAACGTATTAACAAATAAAGGCCAGTACCCTTTCTTTCCTTGAAATGAAGTAACATAAGTTGCTGCATGATTATCCAAATAGGTCAACTCCATTTTTATTTCCTTGCATGAAGTAAAAAGGAAGTATTGTAATCACGAAAATTTTCAGGCATCATATTTCAACAAAAAGTTCATTTGACGTTTTGAATGCCTTCGATTTTTTGCGTGACTCTTATGTAAGGACAGAATAAAGACTCTTTTCCACTCCAAAAATGATAACTGATTAAATAAATTCTGAATGAATTTTTTTTGGCCGGCGTATGTACGTAGTATCATGCATAACTCAAAACATAGCCTCAGAACATTTTGTATAAGGACTGCTATAACAGTATATGTACCATCATATTTTGGTTGCTATCGACCGCACCAAACATATATAAATATATGTATATATATATCCACTCTGTTGACCGGCTCATTGATCTTAGTTTCTTTACTCTTATATGTTTGTAAGTTGTGCATTTTTTCTTTAAAAATGATTGAATTATGTTGTTCTTATCTTCCGGTTAAAGTTTTTATGTCTTTAGTAAATCTGCATGTAATATTTGTGGAGTTATCAACAATTTAAAAGTTGTTTAAGTGCAGTTTAGCCTAATTAATTTTGTGATTGTGGACATGTTTGTATATATTTTAAACTTGGCAAACTAGCGGATTTGTTGCCAATCTAGAGAAACTAAGCTTCACTCACAACAACAAAGATAATGCCTTTTATTATTGTGAATTAAATCATGTTTAATCCATTCTGGAATTTATTCAAGGAAATAAGTGTTTAAGATTTACTTTGTAATTTTTAATATGATATTTTGAGTTTTTATGGATTTTTGCCTTGTCGGGAAGTGAGAACTGAATTAATTGATAGAAATACTGAATCGTCGTGAAAAACGGTTATTTTTGTTTTTTGTGCTTAATTTTTTTATACATCATTTAGATTTATTATAGTATTAATAGAACATGTGGCAATGATTAGATATTCTTCAAATGATATAAATTTATATGCATTCTGAGTTATAATACGAACGAAATGTAACCAGAGTGAGCCTAGCACCAGTGTCGCTATGGTAAACAAATATAATGAATTTTAAGATGAATTCTAGGATTTGAAAGCGTGCAGCGGCAACAACTTTCGAAATAAAGTAGATTTTCATCTCTAGTTTGCGAGACCGTTTCCACTCGGAAAAATGAGGGCAAAAATTATTGTTATTCCGAGTTTTTAATTATCTCTCTCTCTCTCTCTCTTTTTTTTTTTTTTTTTTTTTTTTTTTTTTTTTTTTTTTTTAGGTAGGTCTACTTTTCGATTCAGAAAATTGTAGAAAGTTTGGTAACGATAGCTATAGTAGTGACTGAGTTATTAGAGGACAAACACACTGACTTTCTTCTTTATATATATAGATTGTTAAAAAACCTGAATCATGCATTACAAACTTAAGTTAATTTGGCCAATGCTGCACCGTGAGCTTCTGAGTAGTGCTGCAATTAATAATCATGCCAAGAGGAAGAACTTATAGGCCAAAATTGATTGAATTAAATTTTTTACTTAAATATTTATATACAATTATTTTTTGTTTAGTGATATGTCACAGGTGCATTATTATTTCAGGCTTAATTTCACACCTACATTTTTTATGTTTGATAATGACTGGAACAGAAAATTCTTTTTTATTATACCAGAATGGAAGTTCTAAACTAACTCAGTTTTCGTTGTAATAACATTGAGAAGAAAAAAAAAAAAAGAGAGAGAGAGAGAGAGAGAAGAAAAGAAGAAGAACTGTGAAACTACATCACTGATCAGGAAATAATGATTGTTTATAAATTCACGAAGTTGGGGTGTGAGCATAAATTATAGTCTGCAGCCTAAAGGCACTTATAAGGCCATTTCCTTCTTCCTCAGATCATATCCATAACCACAATAACAGTAGCTGCAGAAAAAAGGTCAAGTCCTTTGATTCCTTTTGAGTGATGAAGATGGCACGTGTTACGATTGTAAATGAGGTGACAATTGCTAGGATCTTGCAGTGCTGTATTTTAAAGTTATGCACTGTAGAACAGTGTAAGGTTTTTAAGCAAATTAATTGTAAACTTACCTTTTTAATATAAAATTATATATTTCTGTTTTAAAAAATCTAATGATCAACAGGAAGTGATACCGGGAGTTGATTTCCGTAGTTCATCCAATAGCAGTATTTAAGAAAAAGAGGCATAGCCCATATTATAATCAACAACAAAACAAAACAAAAAAAAAAAAAAAAATGTTATCAACAAGTTACTTCCCTCCCTTTTAGCTGTTTAATTTGGAGAACAAGTTTATTTGATTCACCATTCAGAACAGTGGGAACAGTGATTTTACTTATATTGCTATCATATTTCAATAGGAATTGATCCAAAACAGAAGATTAATGGCTGTATCTTTAAATCGTTTCTATGATTTAGCAATTTATTTTTGATAGGAGATCATTACAGTTATACGAGGAGCAGTTCTGCTACAAATAATATTTTTTTTTAGTTTACATACCATTGAGGATAAAATCAATTTCTAAATAATGTGACATCATCTTCTACCACTGTTGCTATCTCAAGCATTTTTTTTTTTTTTTTTTTTTTTTTTAATGTAGAAATTTTGCTTTTTCTTGAGTCTACCATCAACGAGCAGTAAAATAGTAACACTGGTATTTTATTTAGGGGTTAAATTCCACAAATTGACTAGCTGTACGAAAGTTTTCATAATATTACCACATGTAATAGGAATATAAGCCAGTTTTCTTTAAAAATTCCTCTTTAAAGAAAGAGAATCAGAAAAATTTAGATAATTCAGTTCATAACTTCAGTTAACATAGGAGATTGTGTTCTTCCTTAACTGATTTGATCCAACTTATTATTTTTGAAGGTTGTTACTATTACAACTATGTTGACAGAATTAAAGTTTTGAATTTTCAGTTATGTCCAAAAGACATTCTAATTCTGGAACTCTAGCAGGATTTGCAAAATGAATGTGGTGTGAGAATACGCCTTTGATGCAATTCAGGATCAAAAAGTGGGATTTCAAAATTAGGTAAAACAGCAGCTTTATTTTGGTGTGAATTTTAAATGCAATAGAAAGTAAATTTTCCATTTAATGGAATTTTTGAAGAAACACGGAAAAGTGATAATTGTTGATGTTAAGAGTAATATGTCATAGAAGACATGGTTGCATATCTTTGGGTGTGCAACCTTGGGTGCTTTCTTTGAGCTTAACAGAACACATCAACCAGATGAAGATAGCTAACAGGAGATTTGTAGATACCTGGATGTGATAATTCCATGCGATGCTTCATATGAATGCTGTCTAGGACAATCTGCTTGATTCCTATTCCCATTTTTGTTTTCAACAGCTATTTTCCATGTCAGGATCCATGTGTCAAGTCATCACACCACACTTGAGAGAATCGTGCCTGCTGGCCATGTCGATAACTTGGATGACACAAAACCCAGATAGGTCCATCGGGTGGACGTACAGTCTTCATACATTTCTTGGCTTGTATCATGGGATTAACGTACTGAACTTTTCAATTCTTTAACACTGTGTAGTCATAAGGGAGAATGCAAATTTTCCAACAATAATAATAAAGATGACATAATAAAATTTTTCTATTACAAATTACAATGCCCCAATCAGCTAACTTATGTAGAAACGTATGGTGTGGTTTTAAATCCAGGAAATATCTCTGCCAATAGTGATGAAAATGACTAAGTTTTTTTAGAATGAAAAGATTTTAATTGGCAGTTTAGCGGAGGTTTCGACACGACAGTTACGACACTCGGTTATAATGGAACTTTGTAACTGAACAAACAAGCTAAACAACTTACATTGAAAGAAATATTTGATAAAACAAATAAATATTTTTTTAATTTAAATTTTTTTGAAGTCATAAATGCTTTATTCTTTCATAAAGAGTTATTAATTTTTTAATTTCTGCATATTTTAATATAGTAGTTCTGAGTCAGTTTTGTTCCGTTCACCCCTTTCATGCTTCCCACGTAGAAATCAATCCCTGCTCCTTCCAAAGCTTGAAAAATACATATACATTTATGTAGGTTTAGATTGATTGGGTTAGATTGTGTGTCGTAAATTAAGCAACAAAAAGTATAGAAAATGGTCATAAACGCCATCTGAAGCTCTGAAGATTCAGGATCTTGGACTTTGTATTGTAGTATAATATTTAATTATATAAATTCACAAAAATAAAGTAAGTAATTATTATTATATGAATTGCAAACGGGACTGTCCATTTCAAGGTGGCCAGGAAAAATCCGGCTAAGAAAGAAATTTTTTTTTTTATTCATCCATTATTTCTTTTTTTCTGTTCTTAACAAAAACCGGCCAGTCCCCCCCTCCCTTTGATGCAATCTTTGCAGCCTGGTTGTAAAAGAATGAAAGAGAAGTCAGAAAATGGATTACCATATGCTCAGTTAGTGTTTTTTAGTAGTAGAAGTAAAAAGTGTTATAAAATCTGTAATGTTAAAATATTTCTTCTCCATTTTTAGGATTCACTTTTAAAAGTTTAAGTGATGATAAATCTAGCTTGGTGGCTTCTAATGCCCCTACCTTCAATGCTTCTACTGCAAATACTGCTAGTTCATCTGTTTTCAAATTTGGTGCATCTGCTCCTGCCTCTACTGGTGGTTTTGTTTTCGGAGTTCCTAAAAGTGAGCCTCAAAATGTTACACCGGCTTTCAGTTTTGGTACAGGTAAGTTTAATACAAAGCATTGCTTTTTTTTTTTTTTTTTTTTTTTTTTTATGTGTGCATCAGTCTTGGCTGCTGGTAAGCTTATGGTAAGATCCCATAAATTTGAAAATACTCAGCTGTGTACTCTTTTACCTAAGGCCAAATTAAATATTTTTTCCTAAAAAATCCAAGAAAAAATGCTGCAAAAACAATTAATATATATCTTTTTTCATAAATTCAACTCAAAACAGAATTTAATGTCAGATTTTAAGAATATTTGTAAAATTTGTTTTCTCATTGTATATTGAAGTACGTTATATTTTCAGGACCTGCATCTGCCTCAAATGAGTCAACCTTTTCAGGATTTCAACCAAATCAAACTGTTACTCCAAATTTCCAGTTTGGTACTCAGACATCTATGAACTCTGTTAATAATACTCCAGCGTTTGGTGTGACCAATACTTTTGCATTTGGCGGCAAGAACGATACTACCAATCAGTTGGCTGCTCCTGCAACTCAACAACCGACTGCTTCTGCATTCGGATCGATCCAGCCCGTTTTTGGAAATGCATCTGCTCCATCATTTGGAAAAGTAGATAAACCGGCATCTGGCGGGTTTAATTTTGGGGCTGCTGCTTCTTCAAACCCAGTTTTCGTATTTGGGTCAACGGTGAATATATTTTTAAATGCCTGTTTTAATGCATACTGAATGGCATTTGGAATTATTTAATACATGCTGAATGGTTTAATATGCTTGTTACAGGATAAAAAACCAGCTATGACACCTGGATTTTCATTTGGGACTCCTACACAATCAGAGACTCCCAACTCTTTCCAGGCTACATTTAATATGAACACACCTCCTAGTTTCAATTTCGGAGCTACATCTACTCCAGCAGGACCTTTTCAGTTTGCGTAAGCATACATATATCTTCAAGGGGGGCATTTTTTCCAGAGATAAGCTATACTTGCATGTGCATGAACTTGTATCTTTGTGTCATATTATATTTTGCGATTAGTTTGATAGCGATTATTAAATGGTACCTTAATTTTTAAATTCCTAACCCTTTGGCCATTATGTGTTGACGTAACAATGGAGTAAATGTTTTGCCAATTAAACATTCTTCATTTTGATTGCGCACTCTCCTTTGAATTCTTAAACATGTTTATATTTATTTCCTTTTTTCCCCCACGAATAAAAGATATTTCTTATTTACTTATTCTCCTTTTTTTTGTGTTTGTTCCTTCCTAAAAGACTTTTTATTTTTAATATTTTTATATGTGAAGTTAAAATTGAATCACTCAAAACTTATAATGGTTTGAGTGAATATGAATAACTATTAACCCTTTTCAAATTTTATAATTTCAGTTTTTGTGTACATTTAACAAATGTGTGCAATAAAAGTATTTGAATACTGCTGCATTATATACTGCTTTGAATTGTTATAGTGTCTAAAATGCATTGCAGTAGATGTTACAGCATTTGGCATATTGCCTCTTTATACTGCCTGTTTTCTTAGAATTTGTTGCAGCTCTAGTTGAGAGAGAAGTAGACTTTGCACTGTTCAGTTTTAAATGTGATGTATTATTTTCTTCTATTCCAAAATATCATCAGTTGTAAGATTGACCAATGCCACTAGCCAAAAAAAAAAAAAAAAAAAAAAAGAGGGGGATTCTAAAGTAAAGCAGATTTCTAAAATTGTATTTAACAAATATATTTATTGTAATAGAATTTGATTTATAAGAGTAATATTTATTTGTCAGTAGATATTGATTATCATTTTCTGCATAATTATCAAAATCTTAATATTTTGAAACCATTGTTATCTGCACTGTAATATGAAAATGTCATCATCCCATAATATACAGTTGAATTCCGATAATCAACACATTTTGGGAATAAGGGTTATGTAGATTAGAAAATTTTGCAGTTTATAGGTTTTTCTGAATACAATAGAAGCCTACAAACTCGGCGTTCCATGTAACTTGATGATCACTTTTAATTTTTTTAATTGCTAAAATCTTCTGATCGAGCATTACATTGCTTTTGATGTAATGTGGTGGTTTGTTGATAGCTAAACTGCAATAATTTCAAACATTGTCTGTATGGTGCAAGCAGTACAAGTACATTTTAATTACTGTATTATTGTAATCATAGTGCGTTATTTATCTACATAAATATCTGCATGGTGTTTTGTTCTGCTCAAAGGTTTTATTCTAATTTTGCAGTTTTTGTTTTTTTCTCTTGTGATATTATTTCTTGGGACGTATATAATGAGTTTGGTGTCATGTTTTGTTTCTTTCATGGAAATTCCAATCTATCCCATTCTTCCTGTCAGCAACAAAATGGCTGAAGAAAATCAGGTGGCTGCTGTCGGTTAATAATCTTCTGTTGCTTCCTGTTAGCAGGCTTACTAAAGGGTTTGTGAGTGCATCCTATTATAAGCTAAACTTTCAGTTCATTCTGAGTAGAATTTCTCAGTTTAAGTCCTGACTTATAGGTGTCATTTTAATTGGGCAACTGAAAAATGCTGAACGAGAAGGGAGGGGAAAATCAATATGACAATGGAAAATAAATTAGGTGTCTTAAGAAACTGAACAAAGAGGAGAGTATTAATGAAATTGCTGTAGGTTTAGCTGTTGAATGAAATATGAGTTGTAAATAACTCATTCCTGCTTTCCTAAAACTCTACATTTTCAGTAACTCAAGCAGATGTCCTTTGTTTATCCCTCAGTGCCATGTTGTGGGATTCAACTGCATGTGTTGTTTACATTTCTCCCATTCTGTTTTGTGCAGTTTGCATTGTTTGCTTATTGGTAACTATCTGCATAGCTATGCCTGTATAAAAATTGTCACGTTTATGCTCACAAATTCACGATTCTATTTTTTTACATAAAAACAAAACATTTAATGAAGAGCTTATGTACATTATTTACATTATTGAAAGCACAATCATACATATATTATAAATTTTCCCATCATAGGGCCAATATTCGTTTATCAAGAACAATTACCGCTATGCGGCCAAGAACAGATCATTTCAAGGCGTCGCCCTCAAGCTAACTAAAAAGAGTATTACATTCCTTCTCTGCCGCCAGTCACGTGACCTAGTCGGCGACAGACGATAAAAAATAAAAGAAAAAATGAATCCATCGGAGGGAAAAAGAAATAATTTCAACAAAACTCCCCCCCGATGAACAATAGGTTCATCATAAATTTAACTAACTATTACAATATTACTATAACAATAAGAAACAAATAAAAATTACTTACATATACAGGTCACATTATATCAATAATTTCTTAACATCAAGAAAAATTTTTTCTGAAACTATAGAAAAAACAAAACATTTAAATTAACATTTCTCAAGATCACCACAAATCATTAAACCAAGGAAAATAATAATGAATAAATGAAAACATTAAAAAAGAAAATTTTTTTTTCTATCATCAGTTTATCAGTCATTCAGTCCAAATTTTTTTTTTTAACCAGTCACTGATTATTGCAATTACTGATATCATCAATTTCTAAATTGTACAATAGCTGCACTGGACGTTTGATTACCGAATTACCAGTTTTCACTTCACACGATCTGATCATTCCATCTCTACCAATAAAGGTTTTGGTTATTCTTCCTAATTTCCACCAACTTCTAGGTAAATTTTCATCATGAACAAGTACTATATCATTTACGTTGAATGTAGATTGTTTCTTCTGACCGGTATAATGAGCAGATCTCAAGCACAGGAGATATTCTTTTTTTCCATCTGTTCCAAAAGTGATTTATTAGATTTTCTCGTGTACGGAAACGTTTTAACATTACTTCTCTGGAACCTGGTAAATTCAAGTCATTCCTCCTTACAGCTGGCAAACTCAAGAGTCGTTTACCAATCAACAGGTGGGCTGGAGTAAGTGCGGAGGGCTCTTCAAGATCAGAAAAGACGTATGTTAATGGACGCGAGTTTATCATCGCTTCTATTTCAAGCAAAAGCGTTTCTAATTCACTTTGAGTCAAAGATGATTTCCCAATGTTCTTTCTTAAACTAGTTTTTACACTGCGAACTAAACGTTCATAAAAACCGCCCCACCAGGCAGCACGTTCCACAATGTATTTCCATGTGATTCCATGCGAAGCATAAAATTTTTTAACTTCAGGGTGGTTAATCACTTTCCACATTTGCTTTAATTCAAGTTCGGCTCTTTTAAATGTTCTAGCATTGTCCGAGTACACAGTGGAACACAAACCTCTTCGGGATACGAACCTGCGGAACGCAAGTAAAAATTCTTCAGTGCTCATGCCTTTTACGAGCTCCAGGTGAATAGCTCTTGTAGTGGCGCAAGTAAACAATAAAATGTAGTATTTGTTGTCATTTTCTTTTACATACAAAGGACCTGCAAAATCGAGTCCAAATTGCGAAAGGGGAAGGTGGAGATTCATTAACTCTATCCGCTGGAAGAGGTGCAGTGACTTGTTGTCCAGGACGTACATTATATTTTTTGCATATTATGCATTTACTCAGGATTGATTTGACATATTGTTTTCCTCTTAAGAGCCAGAATTTTTCACGTATATGCACTAGAGTATCCTGATACACCCGCATGATAAACCTTTTCATGAGCGTCTCGTACTACTAATTCACTTAATTTATGTTTTGAAGGGATTACTATTGGATGTTTGTTGTTAAATAGTAGGTTTGACTTTTGTAACCGACCTCGTACCAAAAGTAGACCTTCATCTGATAATATGGGATTTAATTCGAACAATTTTGAATCTTTTGGAATATGCTTGTTTTCTCTTAGAGACTCTATAACTTCAGGAAAACTATCTTCTTGAGCTTGTTTTAACCAAAAGGTTTCAGATTTACTGATTTCTTCTGCTGAAATTTCCGCAAAATTTCTATTTTCCCCTTTTTACTTTTAAATTTGATATAAATCTGAAAATCCAAGCAGTCACACGATAAAGTTTTTTCAAGGAACTAAATTTTGTCAAATTCATGAGTGGAAAATTTTCAGTTTTGTCTGTTTTGATCAAACACGCTAGGATAGCTTCCGATTTTCGAGATTCTTCTGATACATCATGTAATTTTGACGTTCGATAGTTTGGGTTTTGGCCATTGACTTTCAGGTAACGAAAGAAATGCAGGGCCATGCCACCATTTCGAAGAATTTATCAGTTCTTTTGCAGAACAACCCTTTGTTATTAGATCTGCAGGGTTGAGTTTTCCTTCGCAATGTCTCCATGAACAAGGATCTGAAATTTCATGTATTTCTGAAATTCTATTAGCAATGAAAGGTTTCCATCTTTTAGCTGTACCTTTAATCCAATGTAGAACTATTTCCGAATCTGACCATAAAATGACATTTGAAATATGTAGAATATTTTTCAGGTAGTTGGCAACCCTAGCACCCACCAGTGCTCCCATCAATTCAAGGCGGGGAAGCGTTAATTTCTTTAATGGTGCAACACGTGATTTTGCCAAAACAAATGTAGTTTCAAATTTATCTTCATCAGTTCTGTATCTCAAGTATGCGACTGAGCCATACGCATTCGGATTAGCGTCACTAAAAATGTGTAACTGAACAGTGTCCCTGTCTAAATTTGGTACATGAAAATAATATCTGGGAATTTTCAACATTTTAAGTTCTTTTATTTCAGAGAGCCATATTTTCCAGTCATTTTCGAGTTCTCCAGAAAAGATCTCATCCCAAGGTACCCCTTGAAGCCATAGCTGTTGCAATAAACATTTAATTCGAATTACAAAGGGTGCGATAAATCCAGATGGGTCAAAAATTTTGGCTGCTATTTTTAATACATTACGTTTGGTACATTCAGTGTTTCAGGGTTGCCACGCTACCTGGAGAACCGGGAAAAGTCAGGGAATTCGAAAATTGACCAAAATATTCAGGGAAAAG